CCCCCTTTAAACATCTACTTCCCCCCCCCCCCCCACCACCACCACCACCAACACAGGGGCGACAAAGGGAGAAGATGGACCAGTCACCTTTGGGGTAAAATTTAGGTTATTTTATAGATTAACAGTTTAAGTGACCTAGGGCAGGAGTGCCATGTATGTACTGGAACTGAAGTTCTAATTTAAGTCACTGGGTGTAAGGTTCTTTTGCTTACCTAGCTCTTTCACAATGGCAGCCAATGGAGGGCGGACCAAGGGCAGGATCTTTAGTGGAGTTTTAGATGCTTTTGGTAGTCGAATAGAGCCTAGTGGAACAGAAACAAAATTGAGTCCTGCACTGAACAGCTTTAAATGTATAGCCAAAAAAGTAAAACTAAACAGAAAAACATAACTTACATTCTGCCTTTATGGAGTTGGAATTTATAGGAGCGTAGGGTCGACGTGCAGCTCTTCTAGGCTGCAAGATATCTCTGCACATGCGTCGTGCAATACGAGTTAGTTTGGTCGTCTGCAAAAGGAAGGTTTGCCGATTCTTTGCCAACAGTTTTGCCCGGTTAGCACTGGTGGTGTATGGTGACATGCTCTGAGCTTCAGGCCGAGAAATGTGGCCACGAGAATGTGGCTCCTGTAATCAGAAATAACATGTTACTGCAGGTCCTATATGGTCTACACATGAAACCCATGTAATGGTAAACATGCAAGTTTTTAGAGATTGGCTGTATGTTTTTTTTCTGTACAACAAGCATACTTGTCTTTGAAAACATTTTATGAGTTTGAATTCTGTCCAATATACATTGTACCCATTTTGTGTATTACCATCTTAAGCACCATGGGTATTTCCACACTGGAAATTCAAAGAGACAACCATCTAAAAATTACCCTGTAGCAGCAGTTGTGTACTTTTCATCCAAGAAAAGCAATTTTTACCATTTAATATCCCTATGACATTCTCAGCAGTTCTGTATCAGTTTAGTCAGTGGGAGGAAGCAGCCGGACAGGATGTGTAACAATCATTTTACACAAGCACATGTCCACAAACTAACTCAAGAGCCATGTGCTTTCAGCTAGGGAGCTGCCAGGGCAATAGTGTGATGACAGCAGTCCCCAAAATCTGGCAATATATAGTGGGTGCAGATGGATGGGGAGAGGCCAGCATTCACATGAACTCCCTCACCTCATGAAAATGCCAACTGCCCATTAACACTTTTAAAACAGCTCAGCTTGATCAGAATGTACACATACCCCAATATTCCTTGCTGCACCTTCAAGCTGTGTTGGTGTTTTAAGCCCACCATACTTCTTCCAGTAGATCCAGCAAGATGCACAAAGGCGGCACTGCATGTTAGGAGGACCCCATGCATACCACTGTGCAGAGACTGTGGCTGGGGGGAAAAAAAAAAAACAGGAATATATATAAAAAAAGAGGGTACAAAACAGATACAAGCACACGCACAAAGTAAAAACATATACATACACACACATATATATATATATACACATATATATATATATATATACACACACGTACAAAAACGTGCAGTAAAAAACAAGCCTTTTTACACCCAAAAACGCTGTCGCTTAGGTGTGAATCAGGCCTTAGTCAATAACCCTGTTAACGTTAAACCTCAGGCATATATAAAAGACACACATGAATGCAGTTCTGTTTTTAGGAATACATCTTTAGGGTTAAACTCCAGGTATAAAGTAGTATGCATACTCACATTGGTCCAACTTGGTTCCAAGCAGGTCCATACCTGGTTGGGCCATGGGGATCCTGTAAAGTACTCTAATAGTAGGAGCTACTACAGGGCTTGACAGTGATCTTCCGAGTCACATATGGCAGAGTGGAGCAGCTGCCCCTCTACTGTGAAAACACATGGGGTCGTTCACTCATTGGAGATTCAAAGAACACCTAATATTTTTATCAATGAATACATGGCATTCTCTAATTGAAAGAAGAGGGATTGTAACACCACCAACCCCGCCCAATCAGATAAAGCCTTTTAGTCATTGATCAAAAATATAAGGCATTCTCAGAATGGCCGCTGTGCCATGCAAGCGACCCCCTGTTTTCAGACCAGAAGAGAAGCCTATCAACTCAGCGCCAGAAGATTACTGTCAAGATCTGTAGTAGTTCCGGCTGCCAGTGCGTTACAGGATCCTTGTGGGCCGACCAGGTATATAATATGCATATTTAGAATGGGTCAAACTGAACCTATCTAACTATGAATACTTTATACCCGGAGTTCAACTTTAAGATTACTTTTTTTTTTAAACGCATGCAAAGTACTTGAAATTGACTAACAGTCATGTTTACAGCAGAGCCCAGACTGGGAGAGGAAGAAGCAGCACAATAAACGTATCAGCTGTGCTGCATTGCTAAGAGCATGCTGAAATGAGGAGAGAGCAGAATTACAGGTGAGCGCATCAGTCTGCTGCTTCTCCCTACGCAATCAGACAAGACCTCTAAATGTCAAGTGCAATAGAGAAAAATCATGTATTCTACCCTCCCAGACAGTGTTGTGCTGTGTGATAGGGCTGTGTCTCTCAGAACTGGATGGATAGGAATACAAATCGTTTGGCAGGTAAAAAAGCTCCCATATATTTATTTCAATTGTGTATTTGGAAGTTTGCCTTGACTTCAGCTTAAATATTGACTTACTGTGGCAGCTTTCACAAGTCAAACCCTTTTGGAATCCAGCTCCATTAAGTCCAGGTTTAGATCCAGCAGATATAATCTGATTGGGATTCGGTTTGGTGCTAAAACCAAAAAAAGACATGGGATTTATAAATCATAAATGAACCCACAACACACACAGGAGATATAAAAAGATGTGCAATACTCACTAAGTTGGGATGTAGACTTGCTTCAATTTGCTGTCTGCTTCAGCTGCCTTCAGACGTTTCTGCAGAAAGATAACAAGATCAAGATGTTCTCTGCATTAGTTCTTGTAATTATCGGAGGGGAGCATGGGAAATACTTCCACATGGCCTATGTTTTCTTTCTTTTTTTTAAGCCTTAAAAGAGAACTATGGGGTAAGTGTTTTTCCCCATAGTTCTCTTTAGGGTCACGGGAGGACATATACTAACCTCCTCCCGTGACCCAAAGCTCAGTATATCTTGGGCTGTTGCCCGCGATATACTGAGAGCGCCGCAGCCGGGACGGATCCCGACAACACTGTTGAGAGCCTGACTACAAGTGAGCAGATCGGCTGCATGTTTATGCTCACTTCCCGATCAATGGAGCCGACCTGTGACAGCTTCTTTGTCACAGGTCGGCTCTAACTATGAGGATGAGTGGAAATCACTCACCTCATAGTTCTCCTTTAACCATGATGAATCCTACACTTACTGCCTTTGGTTTTCTGATGCAGGGATCCAAACCGACTAACCAAAGTCCTGTGGTAGAGACACACATGAACCTTATGCATTACCTTCCCTGCAAATGGATCTGAGGCCTGGTTCTCATCTAGGCGTTTAACAGTTGGAAGCGTGCTTTTAAACATCCAACACGAGAAATCCCATGATTTTCAATGGCCCCTGTTCACATCTGAGCAGCAAAACACTAGCATGAAAAAGCCCAACGCAGAAAAAGGTACATGAGCTTCTTTTGGCAGTTTCAAACTCATTTCTCCCATATAGACTTCAATGGAAATGCCAGAAAACATGTGGCAGAAGCATGACGCACATTTTTGTGCCTTTTTATGCGCATTCATCTATTGACCGCAAAGTATCATAAGAGGCCAGTCAAAACGCACGTCTTCACGCACGTAAAAATTTGCCAATTGCGCAAGTAACCGCACTCTGAACCCGTGCTTACAAACGTGCATAAAAAAAATGCCGCCTTCGCGTGAACCAGGCCTTAGAGCTAGCTAGGAAAAACAGGTGTGCACCACTCCTATGCCTCAGTATTCTATGCATGTTAACAAGTTGAGCATGACTCCTGTAGCTACATGAATCTTACCTGTTGGATGTATCTATCTGTAGTTTTCCACATATAGTAGAACTGAACAATACTAGCCAGTGACTTCCAGGGGAGCTATTAAAAAACAAAAAAATCAGATTAAAAAAAGAGAAACACAAAAAAATAGGATTTTGGTACTCACCGTAAAATCCTTTTCTCTCCGTTCATTGAAGGACACAGGGAACAGATCGGAGATCATGTACTGTAGGGTAATATCGCCACCTGCAGGAGAAGGACGCTAGGCACAAAAAAACTAAAGACCAATTACAGCCTAGGGGCGGCCCCTGCCGGTGGCCAAACCCCCCACCTACTGAGAAGTCTCCAGTTTAGTAACAAGCAGTAAAGGAGTACACACCCACATAGAGGGGCGGGCCCTGTGTCCTTCAATGAACGGAGAGAAAAGGATTTTACGGTGAGTACCAAAATCCTATTTTCTCTCCCGTTCATTGAAGGACACAGGGAACAGATCGGAGATCATGTACTGTAGGGACGTCACAGAGCAGTACCAAAAAAGAGGGGTGGGCCAACAGAAACAACAAACCCAACTAAACAAAAAAATCCCCTCAAACGGCCGCCTGCAACACTTTGCGCCCCAAACCAGCATCCGCAGATGCCAAAACATCCACCTTATAAAACTTGGCAAAGGTGTGAACAGAAGACCAGGTTGCGGCCTTACAAACCTGAGAAACGGAGGCACCATGACGGAAAGCCCAAGATGCCCCAACAGCCCTTGTAGAATGGGCCGTAACAGAAAAAGGAGGCTCACGCCCCTTAATAGCATATGCCTGAGATACTGTGTCGCGAATCCATCGAGAGATGGTAGCCGACGAGGCAGCCCTGCCCTTCCGGGGGCCATCTGCAATGACAAACAGGGAATCCGATTCCCGAAACGCAGCCGTAGCACTCAGGTAAACCCGGATGGCGCGGACCACGTCCAGACAGTGCAGTGCCCTCTCCTTCCTGTGGACAGGCT